AAAAAAAAAAAAAAAAAAAAAAAAAAAGTTAGATTCTCATACGGCTCCTAAGGAACTTTAAGATCTGGCCCCTACCCACCATCATCATTCCCCTCCATCTCTACGCCCCATGCTCCAGGTATCCTTAACTACTTGATCTGGTCACTCTCTTCTCTCTGGACTTCTACACATGCTGTTAATGCTTCCTTGGTGCTTCACCTAGCTAATTCCTCTCACTTTATCAGCTTAGAATTCACTTTGTCCAAGAAACCTTTGCTGTCCCTCCATGGCTTATAATAATCTGTACCACAGCAATTCCAACCCGACTCATCAAAGACTTTATCACATGATAAAGTAATGGCCAATTTCTCTGTATTCCCCCTTACCACCACCAGACAATAAGCTCTATGAAGACAGGAACTGTGACTGTTGTTCACCAAACTTCAGTATTAAAAAACCCTAGCAGAAAAGTGAAGATTCATTAACTATCTGGACTGCACCTATTCTAGGAATTATGTATGTCACTTACCAGATTTTTAAACCATTCACTCTCTTCAATCCCAGACACTGGTTTTGCAAAAGTTAGATGTCCACACACAGATGATTGTTAGAATTATAGAATTTTACAGAGGAGTTTTAGAGACAACATAGCAATTAAGCACACAGACTCTCAGGAGCCAGAATGCCTGGGTTCAAATCCTAACTGCCATTTACTAGCAGTGTGTCCTTGGAAAAATTACCACCTTTCTGTCTTTGTTTCCTCGTCTGCAAAATGCTGCCAACGGTACCTACCTCATAGGGTTATTCTCAATATTAAATGAGGTAATGTAAAATAAGAGGCACATACAATGTGCTTTTTAAGTGTTAAGCCAAGGAATCCAATTTTACTGCAATGCTGAGTAAACAATAGTAGGGAAAAGTTTAGTAGGCCCCACTCAATGGAATTCACAGCTTCAAATACTCCTCTAAACAAATAATGAAATTGTGTTTTTTTAAATTTCCACTGTGTTTTTAATACAATTCATAGTGAACGATTTATATATAAATCGAATATACTTTAAATGCCTCTGGGGAATCAATCGTGTGACTTAAACCCGGGGGAAATTATTACAGCGTGGTAAACTCAGAATGAATATTTGAGATCATGAATTACCCCACACTGAAGCACTTACCTTCATCCCAACCAAACCAAACAAAACAAACAAAACCAAAAATCAAGATCGCTCACTCAAATACACTTGCCTGCATTTTTTAAAAAAGTAATTCTAACTTCCAGGAGAGTCGCTAGTTACCATTGCTTAGTGACATCCTTTAATAATCCCAGAATCGGTGCTGTCCCAGTCATAAGTGTCCAAGTTTTCTTTCTTTATTTATTTTTTCTTTTGCGGCTGGCCGGTATGGGGATCCGAGCCGGTGACCTTGGTGTTACCAGCACCAGGCTCTCCCAAGTGAACTACCCGGCTAACCCTATAAGTGCCCAATTTTTTTTTTTTTTTTTGTGACCGGTAAGGGGATCACAACCCTTGGCTTGGTGCCGTCCGCACCGCGCTCAGCCAGTGAGCGCACCGGTCATCCCTATATAGGATCCGAACCCGCGGCCGGAGCGCCGCACTCTCCCGTGTGAGCCATGGGGTCGGCCCTAAGTGTCCAATTTTAAGGCAGAGAAAAGTGAACTGCTGAACTCTGAGCTGTCAGACACAGAGGCTGGGGCAATTGCGGAATCCACGTGACACATGACAAAACAAACCGTGCACCCCTCTGCGAGCAGCACTCTTGAGACCCATT